GGATCGTGGGTTGCCTCATCTTTTGTTTCTTGAATGGTGAGGGTGGTTTCAATAGCTGGGTCCTTGGTCCAGGTATTGGTGTTGATGGTTCAGTCATTTGGAGGGAGCTGTTTTTAGACTTACTGCCATTGTCTCTCAAGCACCCTCATTCATCCCCATTCATTCAGGAACTAAGTTACACAGGAGGGGTAGTATGAGTCACAGGTTACACAACAGGGCATGGGGACAAGTTAGAGACTTGACAAACAAAATGGAAACTTGACATGACTTGCATATGTAGGCCTAAATCATATAGTATCAGTAAAACAGTTATATAGAACAGTAAAAATCAATATAAACATAATAATTATAGAATATAAAGGAGAAAAAAACAAAACAAATACAACTTGCTACCAAAATAAAATGCTGAAGCTAATCCTATGTCTTATACGTGTCTATAGGGAATAGAGAGGGAGAGAAAGTCAGAAATGGTTGGGGAAAGGGAGGGAATGCATTTTTAAATAATAATAAAAAACAAAAAACAACAAAAACTGGGGGTTTTGCTACAATTCCAGAGTACAGCTTGTTGCCTCGGGGAGAGAGAGCCCACACTATTTTTATTCCTTCAACATCCCAGGGCTCACCATTCCCACTCCTTTGCTCCATGGATAAACTTTCAACCCTCCTAAACTCTACTGCCTAGGGGGTGGTGCAAGCCAACACCCACTCGTGTCCCCAGGAAGTGCAACCAAAACCCACCCTGAGCACCCAGGTACAGCTCACTGGTTCTCTCCTTGCTTTAGCACCCCCACGCAAACAGCAACTACGACAGCAATCTTACTAGCTACCTCCACGCAGAGATAAGCCAGTGAATGAAACCATTCTCAGCTGGGTCTTGGCTCTATTAACCCAGCTCCTGTTCCAGTGTGGCATGCAGTGAGCCTGCAGGGTCTCAGTTCTGCCCTGGTATGAATACTAATCCAACTATCCCCTGACCCAAGCCCAATTTAGTGAAACATATGCAAGATTTTGGTTCTTTATTTTTTATTTTTTTTCCACTCCTTTTCCTTTATTTCTCCTACCTGCCCCTGCTTGTTCTCTTCAAACAGGATTTTCCAGGCTTTTTCCCTCCTGCTTGTGGCTCGGGCTGGCTCCTGCTGGCTGCAGAGAGAGGGAAGCCACAGCCCTCATGGAGGTTTCTCTCTCTGAGCTACATGCCACCTTCACCCTCCTCTCCTGCCCCAGAGAAGGGATAGGGTCCTGGCTCCTGTCCATACCCCTGTTCTCCAGACCCTCTAGTGGCAAATTCTGCAGGTCTGAGGCAGCATTATTAAGCCTTAACCTGTGAATACAATGAATCTGTTCTAACTTTGTGATGGCATAATGTTCCACAGACTTAAAATGTGTTGCAGGTAACCTGTAATAGCATCCTATGTAACTCTCTGTACATGCTCTGCCCTGACTCCCCCAGCTGCTCATTTGCATGGAGAGGTGATCTCCTAGCATCTGCAAAAGTCTCCTCCCTGTCCTCCCTACTTGGTATGAGCAATTGCCGCCTCCTAGCCATCATTATGCCTCCTGCTACATGCTTGCTACCTTCCTTCAGCCCAAGCAGCAAATCATCCTCTGATGCAATTAACTTCTCTCCGCTACTAAGGGATCATGGAGAAAAATCAAAAGTAGATGCCAGAGGAAAATAAAAATATTTCACAAATGATTGCAAGCAGCAGCAAGGCTCATATGATAGAGAAATCTAATGAGAAAAATTGCCCGATAGGTGGATGTGGGAGCTCTTAACGATCTAACACTATCAGTCACACCTCTGCAAAATACATGAGGTTGTGGTCTGCTGTGTGCCAAGCTAAGCAAAAAAGCTAATGTGTTGGCAGTGGTTAATTTGAATCCTCTCTCCAGAAACCTCCCAGATACTTGTGTCAGTGTTAGAGGGGCGCTCTGTCATTCTCTGTGAGCAACAAAAAAAAATGGTAGCAGTTTAGCATGCATCCCCAATTGGGCTCCTGCCACAGTGCACCTGTCAGCTATCCTTCACGCGGTTTGACCTTCACCAACACCTGCTCATGTCCTGGGGGTAGTGATGGATTTTTCTCTGGGAGCCCTTATAAACTGGCAGATGTTAAGACATGTATAATCCTATGTGGTCTCTCTCCTCAGGATCTCAAAGTGCCTTTACAGACATGAATTAATTAAGCCTCAAAGAACATTGGGTAGAGAGTTAGGACTTTTCTATGGAGGAAGAAGGGAAAGATTAGGGGCTTGCATTAGGGCATGTAGTGAGTCGTCAGGACACCCAAGGAAAGGACCCAGGTATTCTGACATCTAGTTCTGTTAACTCAGTACCACGCTGTGGGTGCATCTACACGTGCATTTGCTCCAGGATCAGTTTACCTGCAAGTAAACTACTCCCCAGTGAACACTTCCGGGCAGGCATCTACATATGCAGAGAGGTGGAAGCAATTTACTGCTACTGGCAGCAAATGAGCCCCTGCCACCATCTGGGGGAGGACTTGGCTTCCCTTGAGTGCTAGTCCAGGGGCCAGCAGGGAGCACAGGGCCAAGAAACAGCTGCCTCCTGGCCGGGGCTGGGACACTGCTGCCCAGGAAGGGACTTGGAAAGAGCTTCAGGGGAGGGGCAAGTCCCAGCCTCCTGCCCTGTCTGCCAGTAGCTGCCCCACCAGCAGATCGGGGCACGGGGCTGGGACCTGCCTCCTACCCTAGCCCCATTCCTCGATCATGGGGCAGGGGCTGGGGAGCCTATTCCCCCCACAACTCCGAGATCCTACAGCTGGGTGGGGAACAGGCTCTCCAGCCCCTACCAGCAGAGATCTCCCAGCACCAGCTCCGTGACCATGTCTGTGGTGTCAGTGCTGGGAGATCCTTATTACCCAGCACCAGATTTGCTCCTGTTGGGTGCAAATCTGTGTCCAACAGGGCACATGTATAGATGCGTTCCCAGTGACGTCATACTGAGCCTTATTTTTACCTTACTGTGCATTAATTGCACATGTAGATGCACCCTGGGTTCAGCCAAGTTACTGCCATTGTGCTCTCCGTGAGTTTTGGGTATAAGTGACAGCAGAAACAAACCCATGATCCCTGCTTCCCTCCCGCACCCCGATAAGTATTTCCAAACTTGAAGAAGTGCTGAGCTGTCTTGCTCATACGCAGGCAAATGCTCATAGACTTTAAATTAAGAACTGCCTAAGTGCCATTAGGATGGGGCTCTTGGCCTCTGGTATCAGGGCGAGAAGCCTGTATCATTGCTTCCTCTGAAGCATCCAATACTGTCCACTACCAAAGACCAGATCCCAGAGTAACTAGGCCACTTCCCGGAGCAGGGCTGGAAATTTTCATCCCAGTGCTGTTGTCTTACTTTCTGCAGACATGCCCCACACAGTACCTCTCAGTACTTAGACGGGGATCAGCCAGGAGACTGTGCTGAGACTGTCACAGCTGCAGAAAGCGTCTTGCTAACGTGTGGTCTCAAACCTCAAGAGTTATTGCAGAATAAACCAGCTCTTTAACTGACCAGCTGATTTTATTGCTGCAGGAAACAAAGCATTTTGTTGCGGGGGAGGGATTCGTGCTAGAGTTGATAAGAGTAAAACTCGGTTTCTGTAGGGGAGGGCAAGCGAGGATTCCCAACCGTCGGCCTCCTCGGAAATGCAATGCACCAAGAGCAAGGGGCTGCACTATGCCTGTAGAAACCCAGCTTGTCACCAGGACAGGCCCAGCTTCTATTTCACCCTTTGATTCGGTGCCAGTGAATCCAGCCCTGGCTTGAAAATACTCCTGGCACCGTGCACCCCAGTGGATGCAAATGCCCTTCTAAAAATAAGTTTTAAAAAGTGAGTTGGTTACGTCTGTCTCTGTACCCCACATCTCAAAAGTGAGGTTGTGACATCTCTTCTTACTGTAGCAATTGGGGAGGAACCTTTATTCTGTTCCTGCCTCATGACACAAACATCTTGTGTGGCCGTAGACAAGTCCTGGCACTTCTTCCTGCCTCATTTTCTCACCTGCTTTTGCTCTGAGATGCTCTGAGGCTAATGTACCATTTCTTATGCAGTTATTCATAGGGGGAATGTGCTGCCCAGGTATCAAATATCTCAGCCTCTGTGGCCTATGCACATTTGTCACGGACACTCTCACTCGGTGGGAGCCAACCTTTTAGGTAGGTGTACTTCAGATTATTCTTGCACCCTCCCTGCATCCTCTGGTCCCCTTCCCCTGCCCAATCTGCAGCTCTGCCTTCCGTTCCCTGCCCCTGTGCTGCCTGCCCCCTCCCTGGCCTGCTGCACGCCATGCAGAGGGGCTACCCAGTCTGCTTGTAGCACACATGCCGCAGGTTGGCCACCTCTGCTCTAACCAGTCCTGAGCCGAGGAGGGAGGCCAAAGCCACTCCAAGAGGATCTGTATCCATTGAAGCCTGGAGATGAATAAAGAAGTCCTGTCCTCCAGGCTTTGCTTCTTACAGTAGGCCTATTATTTGCTCCTTCCGGGAGGTCTATTTGTTTTCAGTGCTCTGCAAGCCAGCTTAGATGAATGATCTCTCTGACTCTAGCGGCAGGAACATATATAGGTGCCTCTCGATTTTTTTGTGTAACAGCCTTCACCAACCATCTAAGTGCTGAGCAGCCCCGTTGCCTGTCCCTGGTAAGAACCTGTATCTTGTCCAGAGGCTCGCCATAACCACAGGGAATCCCACAAAAGCCACACAAGCTTGCAGAGCTTTTTCTCTCTCTTTTTTCAATGCATATCTGTATTTATAGCTTTACTTCTTTGCAAGGGATATGTGATCAGAATGGTACACAACAGGCTGAATTTTGCCTGTAGCCATACTAGCTAACTCAACTGAAGTCCAAGTGAGTGCATCATTAGACTTGCAAACAGGGGAGCAGGTTGTAGGCGCATTGTGACTAAGATCAAGGTACGCTTTAAATAATTAACTCATTTCCCTCAAAGCTGTATCATCCCTGCCCTTGCAAGCCAATGAGGAAATCTACTGCTAGGGTGTGAGAGGCCAGTGGAGTAGCATCCTCGTGTTCTCCCAGCTTGTACGTTGAGTGGTTCGCTGTCCTCGGGTTTACTTTCATTTGCAGGGACTGTCCTCTCTGCTACTTTTCTCGGGCATCTCAGTTTGCATTCTCTCCTTGTTCTGCACATGGGCAGAGTCAAGGTCATGGGGGAAGCGAGTTCAGTTCTGGTTCTACTTCATTCATTACAGAACAATAGCACTGATTGCAGGTGAATAGCAGGTATCCTGATGGAAACAATGGCACTGGAAAACACTGAAGCCTCATTGCTGGGTCCTGAATACCCTGCTTCTGTGCCAGTCCTCAGTACTGAGCGCTCTCGGTTCCCACTGAAGTCAGGCAGAGATGAGAGGATGCCAGGAGTAGATAAAGCCCTGAAATGTGGTGTGTCTGGTCTGACGCCCTTAGATTTGAGCTGCAAGCTGCCTGCCTACCAAATTCCCCGTGTGCTGTGGACTCTGCTGTCAGCGGCAGAAAGAGCAAGCCGCACTCTGGCTCTGCTGCTTTTCTGTGGATATGAGGAAATGTCCATTCTTGGTTTCTTCTGTGCTGACACAAAATATAGGACTAAATGGGCCTAGTTGGAATTATGTACTGGAGACTAAGGCAATTTTTTCCCCCTTTCCCTATATGCAAAAATCTGCTTATTTGTTCACTCTTTCTCTCTGATGTAAAATGTCTAGAAAGTTGATCTTACTTGGAAGAATAACACATCTACTCAGTGGAAATCTTAGTTAACTACCGCTCTGGAAATAGTTTATTTTAAATACACATGCTAGGATTTTCAGCAGTGCCTCAGTCCCAGAGCTGCTTTGAATCAGGCACTGGGGCTGGGATGTTTAGCTCTCTCTCAATCGTCTCGTGTTTTTACACTCTCTCCCACTCTTCCTGACTTGCTCCAGGGCACATTCACAACTAGAGCAGCCGAACGGGACTGGGCGCCCAGTACAGGAAGGAAGGATCTGGAGAGAGCATCGAAGTCAGCTGCGTTCAGATGAGGAGCACTCCTAGCTGCCCTTGCAGCAGCTCTGTAGCTACTTCCTTATTTTTAAGCACCAGTTCATGGAGTCATTTCCCATTATTGCTTAGTGCGTCATACATACGGCAATAGCTGTATCTGTGTGCCTTTGTGGGGGAGATGGCTAGGGTTCCCTTTAGAGCTATTTTGCACCATGGTGGGATGTTTTAAAGTGGAAGACCTCTCTTCTCTATCTACACCCACACCTTGACCACCTGTGCTTTGTTTCTGGCTTTGGATCTGATGAGCAAAATGACAACAGTCCCTTTAAACAGCATCTCTCTCCATTGCTGGGACCGGTTGTTAGAAGGATATCGCAACCAGTGGAGTTGCCTGACTTCAAGTTTAAAATGACTGTTCAAGCGCATTTCTTGGTCTAGCATTGATAATGCACCTTTTTCTTTCCTAACTCGCCCAGAGGTTGTTTTGCCCTTCATGATAATTGCAAGGCAGCATCACACTTTGCGTGTGATATACTGTAAATAATTAATTGTCATCTCCCCCACCTTCCCTGGAGTTCACCAAAGTCAGCTTCCCGTCATTCAGATTCAAATTTCATTCAGGCAATAGAACAGCTGGGAACCCGCATTGTCTGAGCTGGAAGTGACTGGGCTATGTTTCATTCATGTACTGATGACACGGAGGCCCATGGCATTTTGCGCTGTCTCCAGGTGGTCTTACACAAATGTCAAATACAGCCTTGTCTGTGCTACAATGACAACCATGTTAAGGAGCTGGGCTGCAACACGACAGTGTCTGCGTCCTGTTAGGAGTCGGTCTGGCTTGGTCTCTGCAGACCTCTCCAGACTGTCAAGCACTACAGTCTTGATGTACATGGAGGCTCCTCCGCTTGCTTAGCTGCCAAGCCTTGATCACGCAAGCGTGCGGGTGAGTTGTTACTCCTGTGAGCAGTGCCAGGGAGATCTGTAAGAGTGCTCATGTGACTGAAGATACTTGTCTGGCCAGCCTTTCCTTTTTCACATCCTTGTGACAAGGTATTTAGCAGAATTCACAGATTCATTGAAATCTGACAGGTTGCACCCGGAGCACTTCTGATATGGCCTTGAACGTGCAACCTCTGAGCTGTCAACGGTGCACCCCAGCCCCTGTCTGGTCAGTGATTTTCAAAGGAAGTTGATCCAAGTTAGGCACCTAAATCCATACTGAAGCATGCACTGCAGGGGCTGCAGCCAGGGTCTTGCCTTCATGAGATAAAAGGCATATCTGTGACTTATGTTCCCCCATAGACAGAGCCTGGAACAGGAGCAAACGGCTGCTTGGGAGCTACGTGCAGCTCCCATGCAGGGTAAATGTGGCTGCTGATGAAAGAGATGTAAACCATTCTTTTCTCTCTTTCTCTCTCTGTTGTTTTGTCTCTGATGTTTTCCCACTACTGCTTTTTTTCTTTTTTTATGCTTAGAAGTTATGTGGCACCATGGTGGCATTGGTGCTGGGTTACTGCATACTGGATGTTGACTCTGCTGCATGCACATGGCAGGAGTTTTGTGTCCTGCAGTTTTCGGCTGTATCGAAATATAGTTTGTGGCTAGAAGGGTTAGGAACTTGTACCCTTGAATGGTAAAGGTAACAGCCTTTTCCACGGGAAGATTTAAAAATGGGTTGGTGAATACATGCTAATAAGTTAGCTCATACATAAACTAACCCATTTCCATCCCTTCTCAACAGCTCCCCTGGACATAACCTGGATGCTCCATGCTCCCTGAAAACCAGGATCCTTGCTTGAAAATCTTGGCTTTGCTTGGTGTTTGCTTGGGGTCTTTGCTGCCTGGGCAGTGGCTCTTGTTCTAGTGCCGATTGCTGTGGGCGTTATGGCCAGTGCGGTAACCAGTGACTCTGGGATCCTGGATACAGCCATTGTCTACTGCAGTGAGTTCCCTGCTAAAAAGAGAAACGTCAGCTCCACCTTCAGCTGTGTGATGCTACTAGTGCTGGTTGAATTATTAAGCTGTAGTGTGATCTTGGGCAGAAATACTCAAATCGAGCCGTTCCCCTTGCCTAAACAGGGCTGAAAATAAAAATCTAGAACTAAATTAACAATGTCGTCTCCCAATTATAGACACCCTCTGGTGAATATAAGGTTGTCATGGCAACCTGCCCAGCAAAGGCTATGAAAGATATGGCCAAAAATAAAGCACAGTAGAAAGAAATCTTTTGAATCCAATTCACTGTCAAAGTCAAATTTAAGGTTTTTTGGGGGGGTTTTTAAGGCCAGCTACTCTAGTTAATGTATGGTGGCAATTCTTCCTGAATGAGAAGTGTTTTGCTAGTTGTACGTGCTTGTACAAGAAAGCACCAGGTAAGGAAAAACCCGTGAGAAAGAATCCATCACTAGGGGGAAAAGTTAACCATCTTAAATATAACTTTTAAAAAAGAGGAAATAATCACCTAAGAAACTCAACAGGCCTGAGGAGGGGGGAAAAACGAGAATGCTTTCAATGCCTGGGAAAACATTTCAAAGGTGATATAAAGGAGATGTACAGAATAAGCAAATGTTATCTGCATGGCTGGGAAAGCATTTTAAAATTGAGAGTTCTATTTTGAAATAAAAATATTTTGATTTTTTTGCATAATATTTATGAGATACTTTACGCTATTCTGTTTGGAAATATTTTGCTATAAAAACACTCTGGTTCAGTGAAATACCGTGCCCTTTATTCACTTACTGAGATTAGGGCCCGGATCAATCCAAACATTGCAAGAGAGAGCCCTTGCCTCAACGATCGAGCTGTCTAAACCGGCATGACAGAAAAAGGGAGTGATATTATGCCAAATTTTGGAGATAGAAAAACTGAAGCATTAGTCTGTGAAGCATGAATTGACTCCTGGTGATTACTGATCACTGATTTAGAGGGTCACCGATGCTTGGCCTTCCTCTTTCCCCCCTGCTCCCCAGTGCCTGGTGCTGAGGGCATTCATAGATGATCCGATTGGATTAGTTGATTTGCATGCTTAGAAAATGTTTTATATGCCCAGAGTATTATAATGTACTGATTATAACACACCACACAATTGAAAGCAAGTATCTCGACTTCCACTGGCACGTGGGGGGCCTTGCCCCACCTGTGGGAAGGAGATGGGCAGTTTGGGCGGCCTGGATAATTCCTAGTTTGGCTGCCTCCTAGCTCAGTTTAAGTGTCCTTGCCGATCTATGCACTTCAGGATGTGCTTCCTCCCACTCCCCAACACACAAGCACGCTTTTCCTGCCGTCCCACCTTGCAACTCATGTTCTTCCTCAATAATTCATTTCATCTGCTTTTCCTACCCCCACTTCATGCCGCCTGTCTCCTTACAGGTAATATAGGCACCCCTGCCCCTTTACTGCTGGGACCTGGGAACATCCAGGAACCACAGCCTTAAAGCTTTTGTTCGGGGCCTAAAAGAAGAGAGCAGGAGATCACAGTAGTTTTCAGAGGGGAGGAGAGGGCACAGCTCAGTCAATATATAATTCAGAGGAGGGGGTGCAGTAGGACCCGGAGGCTGACCTGGCTGTGATGTGGGGTGTATTGCAATATCCAGTACAACTGAGAGAACTGGTCCGGGACCACGTAAGTTAAAGGGATGTCAGGGATGTGCAAGCAGAGAATCGAAGAGGCTCCTTCAGACATATGGCTAGCGCTTGAAAGCTTGCCACTGACTTCTCCTAATAGTCAGCGGGTATTCGCAGCCCTCCGCTGGAGATGGAAAGATCATTGTTCTGGTTAGTCTGGTGGAGGGGGTGCTATTTCACAGTTTCAAGCAAACAGGAAAGCTAGTTTTTCAAAAGCTACAAACTCCCAGTCAGCTGATAACCTCAGGTTGCAGCAGCTGCTTCGTGGGCATTAGGAGACTTGTGCAGAGGCACTTGCAGCAGCGCCCAGAATCGCTGGATCAGGCTGGGCTGTACGTGATGCAAGACAGACCCGATGAAGTGGGGGAGGGGAAGAGAGGGGCACACACTGACTTGACTCTGCCACTGACATCCCACGTGACCTTGGCCAAGTCACTTAATATCTGTGGTTGTGTGCAGGGCCGTGTGAGTGCTTATGTTCAGTATTATTATTATTGGATGGCAAACCTTAGCAGAGCACGTGCTGCTAATAGCTCCCGAAGACTTCCCCAGCCCCAAGGAGTCGGGCACTTTTTTTATAACAGAAACCTCAAAGCCAGCACCTGCTCAAAGGGTGCTGATTTATGAGATGTGTGTGCATGTGTGTGCACGTGTTGCCCGACACACCAGAGCCCTAATCCCTGACCGTGTTACAATACAACTGGAAATTACTTAACATGACGTTTGCTCAGGTGCTTTACAAACAATGTGAGAGATTAGGTCTTTTGCAACAAGGTTCTTGTGTTTGAAGTGAGGCTTTTCCAGGCTGGCGCAGCGTCCCCTTCGGTCTCCAGTGCTTTCCTGGCAGAGTTTTGGATAGGAAGGGGAAAATCGGTGTGGGTTTGTTGCACTGCAGCACCCCAGCCCCTCCCTGGTGGAGGCTGGCATCTGCTCCAGTGCTTGCCCAGCACATTTCCCCAGCACCCAACCTCAGCCTCCCTAGGACGGACCCCCCAGGCTCCCCTCTTCTGCACAGGGCCACACTCCCTGCACAAGACTACCTTCCCCAGCATGCTCAGCGTGTCCCTTTCTTTCCCAGTCTGCGCACGTGGCTGGCTGGGAGGAGCTGGGACGTCACATTCCTGCATTCCCTGTGCTTGTGTCAGAGCCGGGGTGGGTGTCTGCTCCTGGGCACTGGGCAGGACCCCCCCAGCCAGCCAGGACTCATGCACCCCCCAGCAGGAGTCTGACACCAGGACCCCTCTGCCAGACCCCCCTGCTCCCCGGCCTGGGACCCTCAGCCAGGGAAGCAAGGTAAGTCTTGGGACTGGGGTGGGGATTTATTTTTTTTTTGCATCTCTTTGCACTTCTGTGTGGTTGTGTTGTGTTGTGTTGTGTGTCTGCAGAGCGCTAGCCACAGCCCTCCAGGAGCGGGAGCCCTGCTGCGACCCGCTGGCTGGCAGGGGAGAGCTTGCCTTGCTTTGCCCGTCCAGATTGTGCCAGGCAAGCTGTTTCTCCCGCAAGAGGGCAAGCCGGCGAGGACAGGGCAGCGGGCGGGCTGTGTCCTGGTGTCGCTGTCATGTGCTGTGCGTGTGTCCCTTTGTTTTGAAACCGCCTTTTGCTGCATTGAGTTGCAGTCCCGCTGTCCAGCTTGTAAGCTGGGTTATTTTTCCACCCCCAGAGCTACAAATCCACAGGGCATCTGAGTGGCCTGCGATTATTCAGGATCCTGTTTCCCTGCCTCTCCATAGGCCAGAGCTGTTTTCATTTGCTTTCATTTTTATCCTCCCCCATGTGCTGCTGGGGTTGGTCTTGCGTGGCCTTGTGAGGATGGCACGTTGTCTAGACTACGCTCCCCGTGCCCCCTCCCTGCCACGGGGAACCCCTTTGCAGGCCGTGGGGAGGGGTGGTAGCATGAATTGCAAATTGGGCCTTTTGACATCTATCCTTCTCATCTGATTTTTTTTTTTAATTTAATTTAATTTAATTTATTTTTTGCTTTCATTGCATCATCCCAATATAATCTCCTGGACCAGGAGGCAGGTCGGGGGCACCAATTCCTGGGTGCCCAAGCACAGCTGGATTGTTCCTGTTCAGAGCTTCATTAAAAGAAAATTCATATAAATAATGAGATGGTCCCTCCCCCTTCTCTGTTGTGGATCCTGGACAGGCAGTGGGGAGGAATTGTTCCCGAGCGCTGCTCTATTTCCTATTATCCCTGTTTGTTCCAGAAACATGTCTGATGCGTGTGGCATTTTTCCACCCCCCCCCCCCACCTGTTTGAGCATCCCGGGGGCTTTTTTTCCCCTCTCCTGTTGAA